TTTTTAACTTGTTATTTGACGTTTAAGGGTTCGAGAAATGACACTTTTTTGCATACGAAGGAATAGGCTAGGCGCGCGTAAAAACAGTTTATTTTACGTGGGTTACTTATCCACAGCTAACGTATTTCTCCTGTCTTATCTACTTAGACTTACTGCTTAATGCTATTTCCTTAATTTAGCATTGCTTGTTCAACATTGCTTCGTATTTCTTAAGGTTTTACTTTTTTTTGGTAAAGTTAAAGTATTTCTTCAAAGATGTTAACGCTTGTAGCAGTTTTTTGGAATGTGTTATTTTGTATATTGTAAATTCCCAATTGTTTTTGTTTTTCATTCCTTAACTTGTCCTCGCTTATGCATAATATTTAAAAGTTTTCTTTCAGCTGTGATACTTCTATTGAAATGTTATTGTCGAAATTTTTATTTGCCTTGAATATTATAAAAGATTGACTTGTTGGGAAATTAACACAGACTACGTGATCTTTTGCTTATTGGTTAAAAAAGGTGTCACAAGGTGCTTTCCGACCTTATTTTTTCATTTAATTTTAGAAAATTTCTTCTGTAATTGCTAAAATCAGACAAAAGTTTTGTAAAGCTTTAATATGGATGACAGCACTTTACTTAGTACTTCTTTTCAGCGCAGAAGCGCTCGCTACATTAGGGTGTTGTGGACAATAAGCGATGAGGAAATGAGGCTTAATTTTCTTGTTTTCTTTGTGAACTTGTACTCAGTATGGTCTTGCGAGCTGGCCGAATCGGTGGTTAAAAAAACAGCTACAGTCAAGGTTAATTTATAACAGCTGTTTTTTAGTAGCTACGGTCAAAAGCACCTTGAATTATTGTTTCAAATGAATTTGAATAATGAGTGGGTGGCCCGTAGTAGTGTTCGCAAACGCAGGTTTCATTTAATCGTTTTGGGAGGGTAGATCAGTTTTACTGGAAGCGTTTGCTCTACTTTTTTGGAGCGGAAATGAGAAGCCAAAATAGTAAGAAATTGTTATTAATGCCAGCAACTTCTATATGCCTATATGGATCAGTCGCACTGTTTTTTAAAACATTTTTAAGAACTTTCTACTTAAGTGGCCAATGAGACCGGTCATTTGAATTGGCAGATTATACCCATTTCAAAAAGCTCCGAATAAAAGATCTCTGGTAGAGAATGGAAAACAAAAAATGCTTGTCGGAGGGTAGGTAAACACATAATCGGCTTTTGCAAGTCCCTGTCTTCCGGTCGAGATCTTAGCAAGCTTCTTCTGTTCAAACGGATGCACAATAGTAGGAGGGAACGACTGAACCTTATGCTAAGTCTTTGTCTTGTGTTTCCAAAATTTAAAATTTTTATTCTGCATATCATGGTAAACGGTAATATATAGAAGAGCCAGCGAGGAGGAGTAGGACGAAATAGGCATATTGAAGTTGGATGAGAAGAGAGGCTCTTTGTTTTTTCTTCGTTTTAGTTCTTTCTCTTTTCGTGTCTGACCAGTTTTTCAAGATTATTTTCCCAAGTTTCTTCTTCCTTGCAGCTACTTCTTCAGTAGTATCTCAGAAATTACCAAAAATTTCTTGCTTTAATAGGACTTAAAACTACAACTTTCTAAATATGTGATGATTACCAGTGTTTAACATTTTTAATTTTTAACAGGTTTACGACCACGGGTTGCATAGAAGATTTTCACTAAACGTCTCATTAGAAGGCTCAAAACGATTTATCGAGTGCCAGGTAACATATCGACTGGTAGTGCCGGAGGGTGCATATATCGACATCAACGAGTTAGTACTGCTACATTTACTTACGTGTTAGAAATAGATGAGAAGCGCAATTTCCTCAATCAAACTCAGTAAAGGACAGTTTTAATGGATTGAATGAAAGCAATTTATTCTTATTTTTCAATTTAATAACATAATTAACTCTTATTAGGAGTAAACTGGACGGAGCTGTGAGTTGCTTAAGTTTAAAGTCTTGGTATTTTTAAGTGTTTGTTTTAGAATATTATATGACTAAATAATCGTAAAGATGAAATTTAAGGAGAAAAGGGTATTTATTCAATTTCAGATATTTTTTTTTCATTTTGGCCTATACATTTTGGATATTTCATTTAGGATGTTATATTTTATAAGCAAATAGATTTCTTTCTTTTCTTGCTCATTTCAACCACAAACTTTAAGATTTTTGCCTCTTCCTCCAAGACAGTATTTTTATCTTTGAAGCACATATTCACTTATGTAGTAGTGTTTTATCATTAATGATTGGAGTTTTCAGCTTAGACAAACTGCTGAATTTTGATATTGCAAATGCAAAGTTCGACGTAGAAGCCCCGAAAGAATGGTCTACACCCACTCCAGTGTACATATATCCAAGAAGGTTGCTCAGGAAGACATTTAGCTTCGAGCAACGTCTTGAGTTACCTATTCATCTTCGATACCATCGTTCTTGTAACAGAAGTACGAGTGACACTTTATACACTTTTTTGGTCAACGTATTAATAAAACCATTAGATTTTGTGTTTGTAGAGTCTATTAAACCTGATTTTCAAAGAGTATTTCAGAGAAGCCTTCTTTTCAAAAATCATTTTTTTTT